GCCAGGCCCAGCGACGATCAGTGGGGAGCAGAGAGGGGCGTGGGGCTCCCGCGCCAGGCCCAGCGAGATCAGTGGGGAGCAGAGAGGGGGCGTGGGGCTCCCGCGCCAGGCCCAGCGAGATCAGTGGGGAGCAGTTCGTCCCGGTGCTGAGCCAGGCTGGGGATGCCCACGGCCCCCCAGAGTCTGGGGCAGGGCCGGGACACGTCTCTCCGTCCGCCCCCTGTGCTCCCATCCCAGGGACTGTGGGGTGGGGCTGCTTGAGGCAAAGCCCCTGCCACCCCCTCTGGCAGCTCAGGGGCCTCCGGTCCCCCTGCACAGCCCCCTCCCCCCCAATCCCCTGCCCAATTCTTCCCTTCCCCTCCATGGTTCCCCCCAGGGGGCTCCCCCTTCCCCCCGCGGTTCCCCCCGACCCCTGTCCGATTCTCCCCTTCCCCCCACGACTCCCCCCGACCCCTGTCCGATTCTCCCATTCCCCCCGCGGTTCCCCCCAACCCAACCGCCCACCCTGCCCCCCCGGCCCTGCAGGCCCCAGCGCAGCTTCTGACCCGTCTGTCTGCCCGCAGCGGTCTCAGATCAGCTACAAAGGCAGTCTGGTGCTGAGAGCCATCCCGGAGCTGCTGGAGGACACGTCCAGCCACCTCTCCATCGCCCTGCCCCGGCACCTCAAGGACTCGCCCGCCCTCTCCTCCTCCTCGGACTCGGAGGAGCTGGACGAGCTGCCCCTCCTCCCCATGCCCCACCAGGTGGAGTTCTCCGGCTCCCGCGTCTCCCTCAACGAGATCCCCACGGACGACGAAGCCCTGGGCCAGGCCGAGGGGGCGCTGGAGGAGGCGGCCCCCATGGACTGGCAGGCGGAGGTGGCAGGCCCAGGGAAGAGGCAGAAGGGCGCTGGCCCGCGGAAGAGGCCCACGGTGGCGGAGGGGCCCGGCTCCTCGGACGAGGACTCCGCCGAGGCTCAGCCGCGGCCCGAGTGCCCCCGGAAGGCCCTGAAGAAGGGCTCCAGCCTGGAGTCCCCGGAGGGGGGGCGCCCGGCCGGCCGGAGGGGCGAGCTGCGGCGGGGCAGCTCTGCGGACAGCGCCCTGCTGCTGGGCCTGCCGGCGGAGGCCGGGGCGGGCGAGGAGCCCCCCAAGGCGCTGAAGAAGGCGGCGTCCATGGAGCTGCCGCGCCGGAGCCCCAGCCCGGGGGGTGCGCCCCGCAGGCAGGCCGAGGAGGAGCGCACCCAGCGCCTGGAGCTCGTGCGCCAGCGCCTGCTGCGGGACGGTCCCGTGGAGCCCAGGGTCAGCGGCCTGCGGGGGCCGCTCCTGGAGACCCTGGAGAAGAAGGTGCTGCGGCCCCCCCGGCCCAAAAAGCAGCCGCCCCCGGGGGCCAGGCTGGTGCGGGCAGCCTCCAGCGAGGCAGCCCCCCAGCACCCGCCCCCAGAGCCGCGCCTGCTGCAGAAGAGCAGCTCCTTCAGCCAGGGGGACCTGGAGCCGGTGACGGTGCACCGCCGCTCGGGCGCCCCGCTGGAGATCCCCGTGACGCACCTGGAAGCCCAGCGGCTCAAGGAGTCCCCCTCGCTCTCCGCCCTGACGGAGTCCCGGCCCCAGACCCCACGGGAAAGCTCCTCCAAGCCACCCGGCCCTGAGCTGCCCGAGGCCTCGCCGGAGCAGGGGCCTGGGCCGGGGGACACTGCCAGGCCCAGAGCCAGCTTGGCAGCTGTGGGCAAGAAGCCTCCAGCCGAGAGGCCTCAAGAAAAGCCTCTGCTACGGCCCGCAGCTGCCAGAGCTGCCCAGGCCCCCCTGCAGGCAGCTCCCAAGCCCAGAGCAGCCCTGCCAGAGCCCCCTGCCCCGGACGCCAGAGCCCCCAAGCCCTCCTCCTATGCACAGGTGATACAGTCCATCCAGCTCCCCGCCGCGCCCGGGGAGCCTGCCCGGGCTGAGCCCCCCGCTGCCCGCCCAGAGCCGCGCCCCGCACCCCCCCCAGCCCCCGCTGCGGGCGGTGCCAAGGCGGAGGTGCCCGTGGAGGAGGCGGCCCCGCTGCATTCCAGCAGCACCCTGGCCATCAAGGACATCGACTCGGAGGAAGTCTTCGAGGCCAAGTTCAAGCGGGGCCGGGAATCTTCGCTCAGCCGCGGCCTGAAGCTGCTCACCAGGCCCCACTCGGCGGACCGGCACCTGGCCAGCCCGCTGGTGCGGGAGGAGGGGATGTACCGGCCCGGCCCGGCCGGGGCACCGCTGGAGCTCGCCAAGGGCCCGGCCCAGCGGGCCCAGTCAGTGCAGGACCTGCGTGAGCCGGAGGAGGCCAGCTTCATCCGCAGGATGTCCCAGCGCCTCTGGCGCACGCCCCCCACGGAGAGGAAGCAGCCCAAGGAGGAGGAGTCGGGCCGCGAGCCCCCGAGCCGGGGCCGCCGTCTCTCCTGGAGCCTGGGTCTGGGCAGCTCCAAGGACAAGCGGGACTCGGCCAGCCTGGAATCGGAGCCAGGCAGGAGTGAGGGCGGGTCGGAGTCGCCCGTGGTGGCCATGAGGCGGAAGATCAGCTCCACCATGGAGCGCCTCTCCCAGCGGCTGCGCAGCCCCTCGGACGACAGGGGGGAGGCAGAGGGGCCCGGGAAGCGGAGCCCGCTGCTCGCCCTGCTGCGGAGATCCAACTCGGAGGGGGAGAACCTGCGCAGGACGGGGATTCCGCAGAACCAACTGGCGGCACAGTCAGCCCTGGCGCCCTCCGCCGAGTCCTTCCAGTCAGAGAGCAGCACCCGCTCGGAGGCGGGTGCCCAAGGTGAGCGGGGACAGGAGCTGCACAGGGGGCCCGACACACCCCCTGGGGATGTGCCTGCTGGCAGCCATCTCTACCCCATCGCCTGGACGGGGGCCTGTGCTGGCCCTGGGGCAAACCAGAAACTGCCCTTCCTGGCCCCCCCGGCCGCTGTGCACCGTCCCACCCCTGCATGGCAGAGCTGGGCCCCTGGGGAGCAGGCTGGGGGGTCCCTGTGTGAGCAGCCCCCACTCTCAGCCCTCCAGCCTGCAGCCAGAGCCCCTCTCTGGGCCGGCCGGGAGCACGGGCGGTGGTCGTGCACACTGCTACCTGCGGGCACCTGGCAGGGCTTGTCCCGACGCATGGCCCCCCCGGTGGCACCGCGGGCGGCGCCTGGGCGAGGCGTAGTCAGCATGGCCTCGGCCCCTCTCTCCGCAGCTCCCAGCGAGGGCCAGAGACGCTCCCGGTGGGACCGCTGGGGCCTGTCCCGCGCCAAGAGGGACAAGGTGGCCTCGCAGCCCAACATCCCGGCCAGCCTGCTGCAGGAGGATGGCACCATCGTGGGCAGGCAGTACGTGCGCAACGCATCGGGTAGGTCCGGCCGCGCCCGGGGCCGGGCAGGTCTGCGGGACTGGCTCAGGGATCTAGGGGTATCCCGGGGGATATGGGGTGGCGGAGGGTCTGGGGAGAGGCCATTTGGGGGGGCTGGCAGCTGGCTGGGACAGGTGGCTGGGGAGCAGGTGTGGGGAGGGGAAAGGGGCAGAGCCCCACAGCCCCCCCTGGCCGGGAGGAGCACTGCGCGGGGGGCCCTGCAGCCCAGCAGAGCCGGGAAACCAAGGCTGCAAAGACGCCATGTTGGCTCCCTTGCACCTGACGCCATCTGCGCTCCAGAGCCAGGCCCGGCGCTGCTGCGGGGCCCGAAGGACAGTCTGCCCGAGGCAGCGCTGGGCACCAGGCAGTGCCCCACGTGTTCGGTCGCCGGGCACGGGGTGCTGGGCTCATGGCGCCCTGCTCTGAGCAGCCTCCCCACCTCGTCCCGGGCAGGGTCTGGCCCCCCAGTGTCCGGCCTGGCCCTGGGGCAGCCCCCCACAGTGGAGCCCGGCCCCGGCGCTCTGTCTCCCGCGCTGGGTGGTCTGTGTCCCGCTGCAATCACACGAGAGGGCAGGGGCAGGGGAGGGGGACCAGGCCGGGGACTTGGGGGACACTTAGCAGAGGAGCAGCCGATCTGCATTCTGGGGGTCCCACACTTATCCCCTCCCCCCACCAAGGCCCCTGGCCAGTAGTGGGAGCAGGGCTCTGTCCCTCCAGCGCCCCTCAGGGCCACTCCTGGGCCAGCAATGGGGGTGGGAGAGACGCTGAGCCAGGGGTCCAGCTGGCAGCCCCATGCACTCCTTCTGGGGGGCCGTGCTCATCGGGAACCCCCATTCCACCCTCCCTCACGCCTGCCGTGTCCCCTCTGCTCCCCCAGACTTCCCCCCCGTTTTCCACATCAAGCTGAAGGACCAGGTGCTGCTGGAGGGCGACCCGGCAACCCTGTTCTGCCTGCCAGCTGCCAGCCCGTCCCCCAAAATCCTCTGGATGAAGGGTAGGTCTGGGATCTGCCACCTGGGGGCCAGGGCATGGATCTGTGCCCGCAGGGCCGGTGCCCGGGGGCCAGGACTCTGAGGGTGCTCTGTGCGCATGGGATTGGGGGGGGGCTTTGGGACTTGGGGGGGCGGCTCTGTGCCCGCAGGACTGGGTGCGGCGCATGCTGTGGAGCTGTGGGCTGTGACCCCCAGGGCTGGGTGCCCCCGGTATCACTCGCAGCGGGGACGCAAGAGCATGAGCCCCAACCTCCGGGCGGCTGCTCCAGACCAGGATGTGCCCCAGGGTGCCTGGGCAGCCCGCACTGGAAATGCCAAGCTCAGGGCGGGCTGCGAAAGGGAGAGCAGCTCCTCCCAAACCGGGTGGGTAACGCTGAAGTGAAGCTCCCCAGCCAGTCACACGCCGACCCGTGCATCTGATCCCCCAAACTGGGTATCCCGCCGCTGCCCAGGAAATCACACCGCCGCTGCCCGGGAAATCACACCACCGCTGCCGGGAAATCACCCCGCCGCTGCCCGGGAAATCACACCGCCGCTGCCGGGAAATCACCCCGCCGCTGCCCGGGAAATCACACCGCCGCTGCCGTCCAGGCTCGCGGGCAGCACCTAGGTCATGTGAAAACTCGGCTCACCTCGACCAAATGTTCCTCTGACCCCAAAGGGTCACCACATCGCCAGGGCAGCCCGGCCTTCAGCCTCTCGAACGAAAGGTTTATTATAAAGAAAAACGAACGAACGAGCAGAGCTGTTAACTGGTGAAGCAATCACAGAGACTTCAGTCTACACATCAGCTTCCTAGCAGTGAGGGGAGGCTGCTGGCTTGAGAGTCCCCCTGGAATCCCCCACAGCGCGGATGGGTCACTCAGTCCTTTGCTCAGAGCTTTGTGGAAGTTACCCCGGGGTAAGAAGCAGATTGAAGACAAAATGGAGACGATGCAGCTGCCCTTTTGCCGTGTGGCTGGTACTTCCTGTGCCCCCAACAAGCTGTCCAGCACATGGCCTGGAAACGCCTTGGAGTTCTCTGTGCACCGGCCTGCCCTGCCTTGCTGACTCCTCAGGCACGTCCCCGGCTCCTTTCAACGGGTCATTGTACGGCCGATGGGCCTCCAGGCAGGCCAGGCAGTGCTGGTGCCAGTCTGGGGGGGCCACAGATCTACCCTAGTAGCTCTAACTCGCCGTACAAAGTGACACACATAGAGACCATCTCCTCAGCCTTGGCAATTGGGAAGATTGTCGCAGGCCCCTCACGGCCACTCTGTTCACGTTCTGTGCAATTGTACAATTTGGGGGGTGGGATAGCTCAGCGGTTTGAGCAGTGGCCTGCTAAACCCAGGGTTGTGAGTTCAATCCTTGAGGGGGCCACTTAAGGATCTGGGGCAAAATCAGTACTTGGTCCTGCTAGTGAAGGGAGGGGCTGGACTCAATGGCCTTCCAGGGTCCCTTCCAGTTCTAGGAGATAGATGTCAACACTATTGTAAAGTGTCCCACCTGTTCCCCACACGGGCGGCGATGTCTCAGGGTACGTTGCACCCCATGAAAACTCCTCACGGCCCGTCCCTCTCGCCAGGGGAGCGGAGCCCCTGGCCCCAAGAATCCAGCAGTGCTCCGGTTCCCACGGCCCGTCACGTACCCCAGCTCAGGTGCGCTTTAGGCCTCGTGGCCCATTCGGGTCGAGGTCACGAGCGAGCTGAGCCCAGCCACACACCCGAGTTAGACGCCAACAGGGGCTGTGATCAGCTAGCTCTGAAACACCTCCCCACGCACACTGAGTGCAAGCAGCATAGTGTCACGGCCCCACAGGGTCGGGGCCCCAGCGTGGGGACAGGCTCTGGGAGGCCCCGTCCGGGGCAAGGCCCCCGAGGGGTCTCGCTCTCCCTCCAGGGGAAGCCATGCGGCTTCACACCCTCCTGGGGCTGGACCCCTGGGCCTGCAGCCCCCCTGTTCCCCCCGTGACGCCGTCCGGGACG